AAATATATGTATCAATTAAAAATAAAATATAGTGCCATTCATTACAAACAACATTTATTTTCAATGCCAAGCCAATAACAAACTGATTTAAAGTCAAACTGATCTGCTCTCGTTCCTCTCATTCGATGAGAGTCGTTTCCATGAATGAATCGTTAGTCGCGATGTAACATCTGGTTGCTAAACTATTATTTATAATGTAAAGAAGGCTTTGCGCTGCTCTCGTGTCCCAATATCCTCTTATAACGGCATCAGAAGACTTGTATATAGCATCACATCTCATTCTTCTTGATCTGTGAATTCAGGTGACGCGGTCCTCTGTACCAAAATGTGTGCTTTTTCATAGTGACTCTTAATTTTATAATGCGTATAGCTCCAAAGTTTGGACACTTAGGAGACTGAACCCAGTGTCATCTTGACCTGCTTGATTCGTGAGTTTGGTCACGGTCTTGTATGTTTACCTCCAGGACCGAGTTTGGACACCCCTGTTTCAGATGTAGCCTAATTTGTGAACAATTTCACAATCGCATTGTATCATATTTCAGTGTTTTTCATTGCTCGGTCCTCTTTTTCTTGTGTATTAATTATAAGCTGGCTGTGCCAATGAACAACGGTCCAAGCCATTAGATAAACTAGCTTATAAGTTTAAAAATGGTCATCTAGTCAGGTCATGCTAGACTCAAATGGAGTATTGTGATTTGTGAAATACTTACCAGTACAGTTTTGGTCAGAATAACCCTTTCCTGACTCATTCCCTATTCTGCTTTCTTTCTGAAGCATTTCACTCTACTGTTTTGGTCTGTTAACCCTTCACGGAGTGCTTTACTGGCAAACAGAAGCGTGAAAGAACCTTCTCAAAGAAGCTTTTGTTGAAACCTTAAGCAAACTATTTCATAATGCTTTGTCTGTCAATGACGGTTTTCCTTATAAATATTTAAAGAATAAGTCAAATCCATGTCATGACCCTTTTAAAGCATCAGGGAAGGGTTAACTGAGCAAAACTGCAGTGAAACACAAGTTACAAATCTGAATAGTGTAGTTAAGCACTCTACGAAGGGTTAACAGACCACAACTGTACTGAGAAATCAGAATAGTCTGTTATTTGTTATTCACCGGCTCAGCCTGTTTGTCATTATTACACACGAAAAAGAGGAACGGGCGGTGAGAAACACTGAAACGTGATCAAATGTGATTGTGAAAGATTGTGAAAGTTCGCAGATCAGGCTACATCTAAAAAAAAGTCACTTAGTATTGTCTAAGACTCCATGTTTGTTGGAAATAGCCGTTAACTGTAAAGAACACCTACTTTTCACATTCCTGACCGGTGGATTTACCGAAGAGTTTACATACAAGACCGTGACCAAACTCACGAATCAAGCAGGTCAAGATGACACTGGGTTCAGTCTCCTAAGTGTCCAACTTTTGCAGCTATACGCATTATTAAATTAAGAGTCACTATGAAA